TCGACATTATGCAAACTAATTTTAAACCTAAATCAGCGCTGAGTAAACATGTTATACAAACATTCTGAATATTCTATTGATTTCGATAAATTTAAAATAATACCTAGAGACCATGGACAGTATTTGTTGCTAGTAAGGGAATCTTTAGCTATTCGTAGTAAGGCATCTCAATTTAATGATACAGACAGGTCAATACCATTATACGTTTTTCCTGAGGATTGGGCTTCTTCCGATTACCGTTTCTTACGCCAGTGAGGAAGAGAGGAGGCTCATGTAGATTGAGGATTACTTGAAATAATTTTTCATTAGCATTATGGTAAAAGTTTTAGTTTCATTTGTCTTGTTATATCTATCTGGTTAAGAGTGTTTCAGGGTTATGTTTATTTTATTTTATTTCTCCCTTTCTTCTTTTCTTTCAACTTTGATTTACAGTTCACATAAGTACTTTTATATACAAAAAATTTCCATATGTTTGTTAGAGCGAACGTAAAAATTCCTATACATATACCACATGGTACAGAGTAGCCGTATCTTCGCCAGTATGATTTTCGCCAATGGCAAGTGGCGTGTGGACTTTCGCTAATACTATATCTACGCGCTTTGACAAAACTCCGGTGAAATTCGGCCGTTTTTGGCGAAAGTCTACTACATTCTCGGCAATTCGAGTAAAGGATTTTTAGTGCTTGGTGAGAATCCGTTGGACTCTAGCCAATCCCCACCTGCCTTCTCCTGTGCTTTCGTCAATTTAGTGACCTTTCACTAGACTTTCACCAATATTTGGCTTGGAGTCAACTCCAAACATCAATACAAGTGACGTTCGGACATTTTACAGTCCTAAATGAACGTTCTGTTCTTTTTTATATTTAAATAATTGATTGATTTAATGCCTGTCTTTAGCTTTCTTTGATAAAAGATATATTGATTGACAAAAGGTCTGTGTCTTTAGCGGTTTACTCTCAGTTCGTCCCAAATTGCTCACTCTCACACCTGCTCGCCCCTCTGATGTTGTTTGATCTTACAAAGCCAATTTGGGACGAACTGAGAGGACACCGTCTTTAGCTATCTGCTAGTTTGTTCCCTCTCGCTTTTTTATTTTAATAACGTTTTCTATTGACTTGTCTTTCTAACTTTTTGTTGCTTTGAAGTCCCGTCACTTTGGCTTCAACTTAAACATTTACCTGACTTTTACTCAGATGTGATCGTATCATACCCGAATGTATCCTTAGTATAAATAATTGAGGAGACTGTCGCCAATATTGGCCAAGGTTCGAGGAGTTTCGCTAACACCACCTCTGTTTCTGAGCAATTGGCGAAAGTCAAATGGACTCTCGCCAATGTAGACGAGAGTTCACTGAATCTTCGCCAATGCTACCTTTCTTTTTGATTGTCAAAAGTTTACCTGATTTTCGCCAATACACCATCCGGACATTCGCCAATAATTGGTGAAAGTCTTATTGTCGAAGAGCTTATAAGATGGAAAAACTGAAAACACAGACTATCTACACATCATTTTTTAATGACTTTTCCAGCTTTTCTTGCTCTCAAACTATGCATTTTTGCACCCTACGGCAAAACTGACTCTGACTTTTCAAAAACTCTTCCTCACTTTTTCCCTATCTATTTTTTAATTGTTGGTAATCATTGCTGACTCATGGTTTTATTTGTTCTTATACGCATCCTTAGCCAGCGTGTAAACCGTTTCTAGCCTCTTCTTTCTGTACTTATTTCGTTTTAGGTTATGTTCTACTGATTGTGTCGTTTTAGTATTATCAACATTTATTGTTTTTACTCTGATGATGAATTGATGAGTTGAAATTTTAGATTAATAAATATAGAATGGATTTAGCTACAATAAATAAAATAGAAACGTTCAATCTGAGTTTCATGTGTCTATGTTTGCTTTTTGTTCTTAAAAATTCGGTTGTACTTTTTTTGCGAGATACATAATAAAAAGAAAGAGAAAAATATTTAAAAATTTTCATTTGAACAGAGAATGTTATTGTTTGCAAATGAAACTATATATCTATCATGAGAAATACTAATATGATTGATTTGTAAGCTTACGTTTCTGTAATTTTTTTACCAATAGTAAGAGATAGCTATAGAGTGTCTATGAAAAAGTTTCATTTCTTATCGACTTCCCGACGTATGCATCACTAATGATAGTGACAGAGATAAATAATAAAAGACGAAATGAAACATTTGTTTTCATCTAAAAATTTTTGTAGAATTCTTATTATAGTTTCTACAATGCATTGGTTGATAAATTGATATTTTTCTGTACAAAAAGATTACAAAAATGGAGATAAAAAATTTATATATGGCAAGATATTTCGCGCTGAGCTCTCTTAGTTATTTAACCATCTGCGGCACTCGGGGCGACATTCAATTAATGAATCAAAGAAATACAGCCTGTCGATTGTACGATGTTCGAGAAATCGGATCAAACTCTTGTTGTTGAATATCTTTCATCGTCGTTGCGCATACGCGTGTTAAGTAGTCATTTGTATCTGAAATATTATTATTAATGTTCTTATTGTTTATACTTGCACGATGTTGATAATGATGTTGTTTTTCGGGCGACTTTTTACTGTCTTTACTAGTATCTTCTAGACGTATTTTTAAACAAGTTCTAAAACGTCCAGGTTCAATTTCGTTTACGGGTGTTGATTCCGTTAGCTCTTTTTCTAACGAACGATTCGCTAATGATCGTGTTCTTGCAAAGACTTGCTGTTGAGGTGACGATGAGTTAACAATCGTTGTGCGAGTACGTTCTGATATTGGTATTGATTCAACTGCTATAGTACGACGCTCAGGTGACGGTGATTGAGATTTTACCCTTTTGGATATGAAACGTAGTTTTGTTTCAGTTTCTGGTGTTGGAATACGATTTTTTGAGAGAGTAGTTCCTTGATCATTTAATACTACTGTTGTCGCATCAACATCGTCTTCTCTTACATCACATGTTGATAACCATTGTTGAATACGTTCACCAGACAATGTCTGACTTTGTCTGGGAGATGATGGGGACAGTAACAGACCTAGAAACACATAAAATAATCTGCTTTTGATATGAAGTTATCTACTGAACTTACGCGGTGTTTTTATCTCATGGCTTTTCTGTTTTGTTGGACTATTTGAGTAAACAAATATATGACCTTCTTCATCACATGCTGCAGCAACTGTTGTTGCAGTAGTAGTGAGTGAGTGAGATAACTCCTTTATTGGACTATTTTGATGTGATTTGGTAAATTGAACGGGTGTCGTTAATTCTTCAGTTTGAGCTGTTGTATTTGCTGATAAATCAATAGATGGCAAGGTGAACATTGCCTAAAAAACATGATATAACTGTAGTCTAGTAATGAAAAACTGAATATACATACAGTTTGGAGATTAGATTGATTAGTTGAGATGTCAATATGCGGTGCTTTTGGTGCTTTTCGCTTCAGTGACGATTTATGTACTTCATCAACATTCATTTCACGAAATGGAGCTTGTTGTGGTTTGTTAGTTGACACATTTTTGTCATCATCTGAAACAAACTGATGAAATATATTCTGGTGATTGATGAAACAAGACTTACTATATTTGGAAGGTGAATACGTATAATCTATAATTTCTTCTCTTGTTTCAACTCGTTTTTCAAGGCGGCGATATTTTTTATTCGGACTTTTATTACCATCATATTCTAACTCTTGCAGTTTCTCCGGGATCTGTTCTACTTTTTTTTTGTTTTTCTCCTCATTTTTTATATGTGTTGTAGCAGGGTTCGTAGCTACGGTTTCTGTAGTGGTCATTATTGACGATGATTTCAACGACTCGTGATTCAATTTCTCATAGATGGTTTCTAATAATGTTAACCGTTCAAAATAACGACGTATTGAATCGGTATTATTACCATCAGTTTTGGGTTTTGTTCCATTTGATATATTTCCTAAAAGTATTTCATAAAATAATTTTTAATATCTTCAACACATTTGTCATCCACATACCGGACTGCTCATGATTATCAAACGGATTTAAATGTGGTGGATAATCTGTTCGTTGTTGTTCACGTTCAATTGGAATTTCTTGTTCATGTATCGTTGTCGATGGATTAATTTTGATGTAATAGGGCATGGCTTTGGCTGTGATAATTCCACTTCCATTTTGTTTCCCGCTCTGTTGAGTATGTAAACTTTCATAGAGTACTGGTGATTGTTGTTGTTCAACAACAGTTTGACAACGTTGTGCCGTATGCTTTGTCAATCCTACTGGCATTATTTTCAGTTGATTATGATGATGTTTTGTTTGTATTGTGAAAGGATTCTTTTTTTGTTCGGTATAATACGTTCTATTTCCATAATTAGCAATGCCAGTATCATCATTTGGCCAAATTTTTGATAAAACTTTTCTCAACACTAACAGTTCATCAATTGTCAACGTATCTTGTTCAAGCAACTTAATTAAGTTTTCATAAAATTCCATTTTACGTTGTGGTGAGTCTTGCTCTTTCAATGAATCAATCCAAGAGATACCGAAATCCCATGAATCAGCCGTTTCGTCGTCACCATCATCATCTTGATGTCCGTTATTTAAAAAGGATATGTCACTTGTCACTACTTCATTGTCATCATTTTGATCGCTACTATCTTCGTTTGATGTTAATGATAAACTCTGTTCTTTTTCACCATCTTCGATATCTTCTGCTTCTAAAACAAGTGAAAATGATGAATCGACAAGATTTTTTCAAGAATTCTTACTTATTCTATTAAACTTAGATGATGATATTTCTCTAAAATCTAGAATTGCTGATTGACCACCATGTTTTCCATTATTGTTGTTGCTGTTGTTGTTTATTGTACCATTTGATAAGAAAGGTTTTTTAATTGTTAACACTTGGTTTCTTGTACGATGATTGTATTTGTTCGAAACGGTATTTGGATTTGACGCTTTTCTCATAATGCCAATACTTGATATAACACGTGATGTTAATGCTTCGATACTACGACTAGGTGATGATAATCGTTGAGTAATACGATGGTTTGATGGGCTGCCAGTAGGACGATGATGATAATTTGGATAATTTGAAAATTCATCTTGGTCAGCTTCAGGGATGTTCTCGGTACTTCTCGAACGAGGTGGAGTTCTACAATATACAGGCTCAACTAAGATTTTCATGACCGCAAGATGCATATCACTCGATTCCAAAGGTTATCTTATCCTTTAGAATTTCTTATCCGTATAGAATCTACTATTTACATGTTTAAGCGGCAGTAAAAGCTAACCATCAGCAAACTATGGCAGTCATAAAAATGCCTTTTTTTTGACTTTTCTATAAGCCGAAATCGGATCAGTTGACAATTCTTTCCCGAACAGTTCTTATCATAGTCTCATGAAACATTTTTACTGACATATCGTGGTACTTACCTTGCTGTTCGTTGTTTTTGAAACACTTTTCCCTTCCATTCGTCTAGAGCTTCCATTGATCGAAATAGCCATTTTTTATTATTTGTTAAATTTGATTGATAACGTCGTTGATCCTTTAATTTTCGTATGTTTGATCGTTGTCCTCCTCCAACGACTTCATTCGTTGTTGTTGGTAATACCTTGACACCAGGTTGTTCAATATCCGATTGTGATGTAACAATCAAAGGGGAAGCTGGCGCTGTCAATCCAATACGATAGAGTGTTTGATCGGGAAAATTTGATGTCGTCGTTGTAGTCGGATGAACATTTGCAATTTTTGTTGTTCGAATTATCTTATTTCTGTTATTACTATTATTATTATTATTATTATTATTGGTATTCAAGTATGAAAACGGACGATAAGAGGGATATTGAAATGTACGATGTGGGGATGGTTGCTGTTGTCGCTCAAGTTTTTCGTGAACACGTTCTGGTTTACGCTGTTCTTTTTGACGACGAAATACCTTGGCAAAATTCATCGATGTTATATAAGCTAAAATATAACCGAAGAAATAAATTTTCGACAATTTACTTCAATATTTAATGATGATTAATCGAAAATGCAACACCATCTCTTATCATGAAAACATGGTATTAATAGCACGCTTGTTGCAATATGTATTGTTTAACTTATTCTTTTATAAGTATGCAATTAAAATCAATACATTCAATGATTCGTATAACACACACAATAGATGTGTACCTTTTTTTTTTCAGATTTTCAAATCATATATCTGTTTTTTTTGTTCTTCTCTTTTCTCACAATGAATATATATGATGGTGTTATTTTTCTTCTCTTTCTAACAACAACATACCTGTTGTTTCGGTTAAAATTGATGCCATCATCATTGTTCGTTATCATCATCAAAACTGTGCGTGTGTGTACACATGAATTATTATATTCATGGTGTTTGGAAATTCGAAGACTACTCTTTCCTTTTCGTTCTCTTCTCCCGTACGAAATTTCTATCACACTGATATCTTCTTTTTTTATATTTATATGTTGACTCATACATTAGAACTTCTATTGAATAGTTGTAAGCCAAGAAAGAAAATGAACATTGTAATTTAATCTCTCATCACCTTTTATTCATGCCGCCACCGCCGCCCACTCATTCTATAGTTTTATTTTATCATTTTAGCGACTAAATAGAACACATAAGATAAAGAGAACATCTTAGAGATCCTAATAACTCCCTTGAACGACGCTTCATTAGTTATAAGTCGTATAAAATTTCGTACAGCTGAAACTTTACAATAACACTATTTAGCAAAAAAAGGGAACATTAAATCTAATTTGGGCAAGTTGAAGCCATTTTTGTCGCTTTAACCTTATGATATACAGAATGTTTCAAAAGTCACCACCGGAAAAAAATACGGCTGTAACGTTGTCATTTCTCGGTGAAATGAGCTCATTTTTTTTGTTAAAATGTTCAACATTTTAGATATTCCGAATTCAGAATAAAAATTGTTGTATTAATGGCAAAATATGAATCTGCAACGTTGGCCTATTGTCATCAAATTTTTGGCCATTTCTGTTCTTAAGTCTTTATTTTCATCGCAAAGTTGTTGAGTGGAGTGCATTTTGTAGGGTCTATAATAAAAAATATGCCTATTGTATACCATGTCTGCTTCAGAGAAATATTTAGTCCATTTGAAATGTTACAAAGATCGTTTGCTGATTAAGAACCGAAATGATTAGCAACTTGAAGAATTTTGTGGTGATGATAGTGAATGATCTTCATAAACGATCACCGTTGTCAACCGAGCCCCGTCCATAGGACTTTATGACAAATCAACCTAATGGTCACGCCTGCTGGAATATCTGACCTAATACAAGCTTCTAAATGACGGCGGACCAACGTTACAAATTCAAATTTTGAAATTATGATAATAATTATTATTCTGAACTCTAAAAAGGTATGGCATTTTATTTTTTTGGTTATAACCAAAATGTTGAACAGTTTTCTATCGAATGAACAAAAATTTTAGCTCTTTTACCCAAGAGATGACAAAGTTATAGTCATTGTTTTTCTGATAGTGATTGTTTTTTGAAACATCCTGTAAATGAAACAATACTACGAAAAGCTGAATGATAGATGACCTCATTCGCATTTCTTCCTTAACGCCATAAAAAGATTAGAGCGTACCGCTCCTCTCGAACGATAAGCTAACGTTTTAGTTGAGCATAAGAAGTGAACATGATCTATCTTACCTTTGTACGGATCCAACTTCAGATACCTTTTTTTATTGACATAGTTCTATTCTTTCTGATCTACTCATCTGAATTTTTCATATATATATATATATATAAGGCAGCTGCAGTTGTTTTGATTAAACGTCTTTGTCTTTATTTTTTGTTTTATCTCTCTCTTCTGTGGTGAGTGTTTTAAATTACAAAGAGTATATAGTCTAAGTCTAGATAAGTGTGTGTCTGTAGTGTAATTAATCTTTTTTCAACGCAAAAACAATAAATTTTATTCGTTCACTAGAACAGAAAAAGCAGAATGTATTATCGTTCACCCATTCTTTGTTTCAATAACCTCGTACTGGATAATGTCCAAAAATTCTGCTCACAAACAGCAAACAAAAAGTATATTTACACTATGTTATTAATTGTGAATAGTAAAAGAAACTCGGTGATTTTTGGTTTTAATCTTATAAATGATAAGTATAACAATAAATATCTATTGAATAAGTCTTATTGAATCGTCATTTTACGGAGACTGTAGCTCGCGAATAAAAGTATAAAATAACCTTACTTGCAATTCTTCTTGGAAATGATATTTTTACTGTTGAAATTGGTTCAATCATTTCAAGATTTTCATTAAAAACAACCATTGTTTCAATTTTGAACAATTTACAGGCTGATAAAGCGATGATCCATGTCAATAGACGTGCTGTGTATACTTTATATTAGTGTGTGAAATGAGAGTAACGATTTCTGTCTTTTAATTTGATGATACATATCGACAAGGCAAGATATGTAATAAAGATATTTCTTTTTGATTATATTTACATGTTAATTGATGTATATAAACACGTTTTTTAATCAACAAAATGAAGGTGGTATCTCTCGCTCGTGTACATGTGCGTTGTTCAATAAAAATTACTCATACGGGTGAATTATGCAATAAAAAATCGATTGGCTAAACTATTTATGAGATAAGTCATGAAACAATTATTTTAGACTACTAACCATGATATTTTCGATTGGATCAATAATTCACGATGTGGTCTTCTAGAGAATCCTTCTAAAGACAAATTTTTTGCTCCTATAGTTCTATTAAATAAAAGTATTTTTCTGTTTCTTCATTTATAGTATCATTTATCAGTTGAAAATTTATGGTTTTCGTATAATAGTATACAATTATTTTTATATTCAATTTTAAGCTATGTACATTCTTCGAAAGTGTGGTATCTCTTTTAAAATATCACTATAGTGTTTTACAAATGACTACAGAAAGAGTTTAGTTTATTATTTTCGAAAATGCACAATTGTTTATTTACTTTTAATGACACAAACGACATTCGACCTTCTTCTATGTACATGTAGACCAGTGTGTAATCTCTATTACATTGGGATGAAGTCAGAGGCGTAAATACTGTGGTAGTGTTAGAGGGGGTGAACTGAACAAAACTGATGAAGACGCACGACAGTACCTCTACGTAGACATTCCATACAATTACGTCTACGTGCGAGCAGTCTGGAAACTGCGACAAAGAGGAGGAGGAAAAGTTGTGTCGCGCATGTACAGCGTGAGCTTCAAAGACGAAGAACGATTTTACCTTCGACTGCTGCTCCTTCATGTTCGTGGCGCAACAAGCTTTGAATCGATACGAACATTCACCGGAACGGTTTATCCAACATTCAAAGAAGCTGCATCGGCACGAGGACTTCTTGAGTCAGACGAGGAGTGGGACCGCTGCTTACATGAAGCTTCCACCTATGAAATGCCAAAGCAATTGCGGGAAACGTTCGCTTACATTTGTTGCTTCTGTCAGCCCTCCCAACCAATTGAACTGTGGAACAAATATGTCATCGACCTGGCTCTCTACTACATGCGACGTTTCACCGATGACGTCGCAATAAACATGGCACTTCATGACATCAACGCGATTCTCAAACAACATGGATTGTCTTGCGCACTAATCGATCTGCCAACACCAATCGGAATTGCACCAGAAGCCAAGCTCTACGATCCAGCTGAAGAAGCACGCGAAGGCGACGAACGCGTTGTGATACTCAACGACAAGCAATTGGATGCATTCGGAAAAATCGTAGGTGCCATCGATAACCAGCATGTTGAGCATCGGTGCTTCTATCTCGACGGTCCTGGAGGATCCGGAAAAACATTCCTTTACACAACACTAATGGCATTTATCCGCAGAAGAGGACAGATCGTGCTGCCATTTGCAACAACGGGAATCGCTGGAACTCTTCTGAAAGGAGGAAGAACAGTTCACAGTGGATTCAAGCTTCCGATCCCGCTGCTCCATACTTCCGTTTCCTCACTGAGATCAAACTCTGAAGACGCTGAAGTGCTACGTCAAGCATGGCTCATCATCATCGATGAAATCACAATGCTGCCAAAGCATGGTCTCCGCTGCATCGATAAGCTTCTTTTCTTCGCGAGGTAATGAACAATGAGAGGCCCTTTGGCGGAAAAGTTTTTGTTGTGGGAGGAGACTTCCGACAGACTCTTTCCAGTAGTGACAAGAGGCGCGCGAGCTGGCATCATCGAATGCTGTATCAAGTCAAGCAAGTTGTGGAGCAACTTCACACAACTCACATTGACGACAAACATGCGCAGTGAAGGTCAAAACGAGCACAACGATTGGCTTCTTCAGGTCGGAACAGGAAATCTGGAGTCAGTTCCAGGAATATTCCACGAAGACACAATTGAGATTTCTCAACAAATGATCGCCACCGAGGATCTCATCGAATCCATATTTGGATCGGATATTCATCAGATGTCTGTCGAGGAGTTATCGAAACGAATAATTGTTGCTCCGACCAACGAACAATCGCTCGAAATGAACCGCACGATCATTGGACTGCTGCCTGGCGATCCGATTTATTACAGCGCAGATTCTGTCGTTTCAGAAGATCCGAATGATACAGCGAACTATCCAGTCGAATTCCTCAACGATCAGACTCCTTCAGGCATGCCTCCTCATGTTCTGGTGCTGAAGAGAGGTGTCATCATTATGTTGCTGAGAAATCTCAATCCAAAGAAGGGATTGTGCAACGGTACTCGAATGATTGTAAGGGATCTTCAGCGCAACTTCATTACTGCAGAAATCATCTCAGAATGCAATCGTGGTGGCACTGTTTTCATCCCACGAACTGACTTGGCACCAAGCAACACTACTCTGCCCTTCATTCTACGACGTCGACAGTTCCCCATCATTCCGGCTTATGCAATAACGATCAACAAATCTCAGGGACAGACATTCGATCATGTCGGAATTGATCTCAAAACTGCCGTTTTCTCGCATGGACAGCTTTATGTCGCATTGTCACGATCAAGAAATCCCCAGCAAGTGAAAGTGCGAATTCAACCAAACTCCCAACAAGGACAACTGTTGCAAGATGAACACCAATTTCCCCGCAATGTTGTTTCTAAGGAAGTCTTCCAACTTTGAATTTTTAAAAAATAAAATTTAAATAAAATTGCGTGCCAAGTAAACTGAAGCTTCTATGGTTTTCAATTCAAGAAACTCGATCATAACTTCTAGAGCGAACCATAAGCACCACCTTGCTCAAACGTGAAGTCATCGCTCGCCCTACTTAAGGCCCGTTTTTCCGACTCTACAGAAGCTTGCAACATAGAAAATTTTTACAAAATATCTAAACGCTGGGCGTCCGTGGTTTTCCACGGGTTATTTCTAGTAATTATGATAAAGAAATACTAGCTCATTAGCACACTCAGAGTGCAATGGAAAGTGAAGTGTTGAAGTTGAGCTTCAAAGCGTTAGAGTGGACTATACTCTCTTGAGTTTATCACAGGTCCCATAAGTTAAACTAGAGCAGATTATTTCAAAATAGGGACGTCTATCCTGTGGGACGTTTGAGGTACAATGCCTCAAACAAAAGTAAGATGGTACGCTTTCTTGCTGTAGAAAATTAATTTTTTAGGTGGTACACTGAGAGATCGAACCTCTGAGGTGGTCCAAAATGGCTCAATATAGGACAGACGCTGCTGTTTCAAAAATACTACATATATTACACGTTTATGATATTAAGCTAATTGAATTAGTTGAGCCAATGTTAGGTACCGGCCGATATCGTACGTTGAGCTGTGGGTAGAACAAGAAGAAAAATATTATTGAACATCGAGTCGATTGCACAACTTCAATCGTTGTACAGAATATAGGCACAGAGTAGTGGATTTAGTTTTGCAGTAAACTGCAAAACTAAAAATACACCGGAAAATGTCTTGCCATTCCACACAAAGCATTTTTGAAAATGTACAGTTTAAACAAAACTAAGATTCTTCTGATTATACAGTGGCTCGAAAAATTGATCATACAGCGCAGATTTTTCCAGTATTTTGATCATAACTTTGTAATGGTAGGTCATAGAGAGCTGGGGTTTTCACTATTGTATTCAGCATAATGTTTTCTCTAAATGTACCAATTTTAGTGTAAAAATTCGTTGACCCTAATGTTTCAGTGCAAAAAACCTAAAAGAACAACTTTTTCGTTGTTGGACAATGAAAAAAAACATACGGCATTTGTGCATAATTCTCTTTCACTGCACAAACCATAAAAATATCCCGAAATTTTTCTTCTTAATAGCGTTTTAGATAAACAATTGATAAAATGGCACCAAATCGACGAGAGTATTCTAATGATCTTCGATCTATTGTCATTCAACATTTTCTCAATGGTGATTCATATACAGAAATTAGTAAAAAAACATTTGTCAAACGACCCACCGTGCAATCGATGATCAAAAAGTATAAAAACACAAAATGTATTGGAAACATAATTGGCCGGGGGTCGTAAACGAAAAACGACCGCCGCAGTCGATCGTATAATTCAACGTATATTAAAAGTGGATCGTCGAAAATCGGCATTGTCAGTGAAAATAGAACTTGAACAAGAATTAGGCGTGGTAATTCATGAAGATACGGTTCGTAATCGTGCACATGAAATTGGTTTTTACGGCCGTACAACACGCAAAAAACCTTATGTAAATAGGGGTAGTCATTTTAAACGTATAAAATATGCAAGGCATATGTTAAAACAGCCGTTTGGTTACTGGAATAATGTCTTGTGGTCGGACGAGTCACAATTTAATTTGTTTGGTTCGGACGGGAAAGTTATGGTTTGGAGAACGCCGAAGGAAGAATTTGATCCCAAATGCACGGTAGCAACAGTCAAACATGGTGGCGGTAATTTGAAGGTGTGGGGATGTTTTTCGAGAGCCGGTGTTGGTAATCTATTTTTTCTTGACAGAATCATGGACAGATTCTATTACAAAGAAATATTAGAAAAAAATCTGCTTGCGTCGTCCAATAAATTACGTTTAGGCAAGAAATTGGTCTTTCAACATGATAACGATCCCAAACATACGGCTGGAATAGTTAAAGATTGGTTAAAGGAAAAAGGGATTGAAATATTGGAATGGATTCCGTATTCACCAGATCTTAATCCAATGGAACATATGTGGGATGAATTGGAACGGCGAATGAAAAAACACCAGCCAAAGAACAAAGACGAACTAAGAAAGGCTCTTTTGCAAGAGTGGAATGGAATTGGCACTGATATCACGGAAAAACTTGTTGATACAGTACCTAATCGTTTATATGAATGTATAACAATGAAAGGCTTTTCAACCAGATATTAAAAGAGAAAAAGTTTATGCCAAAAAAAAGTTATTTTTTGTACTGTATGAACAATTTTTCGGGCAAAAAAATCGATGTATTTTCGCATTTTTTTAATAAAATATTAGGGTCAACGAATTTTTACACCAAAACTGGTACATTTAGAGAAAACATTATGCTGAATACAATGGTGAAAACCGCAGCTCTCTATGACCTACCATTACAAAGTTATGATCAAAATACCGAAAAAATCTGCGCTGTATCATCAACTTTTCGAGCCACTGTATATTTGAAAATCTATGAATTTATATTTACATGTTAAATGTTTATAGTGTTTTTATTTTGTTATTAAATAGGTGCCCTAGGAAATATTCGATTCAAATATTCATCGGAACTGACTATTAACACATTAGGGTCCGGCTTGTTTGCGCGCAAATTTATGCCTGTAGCCTACATTTTTTGACAGATACTGCTCCATTCAAAAAAGCTTTTTTTTATTCAAAAGCACAAAGTTTATTTCAAAATAAATTTTATTTCAAT